CAGAATGAAAAATATTTTTTTTTTAAATGTCAATAATAATTTTCATAAAAAATATAACAAGGGTAAGCATACTCGGAATTTAATGCAAGTAGTTCTTTGTCAATTAATTAACAAACAAAACAAACCTCATCTATTTTTTTTTTTTAGGTCAAATGATAGATTTTGTTAGATAGAGATTAGTTACTGACGAGGTTCGAACTCACACCGTAAGGACTAGATACATTTCCATTACATGTTAGCATCTGACGCGAATCCCGAAACTTTACAGCCTTCACACGCCGTCCGTTCGACGATCCATCACATGGTGCCGCTTCAACCTTGTCGTCTCCCACGTATATATATGTACAAACCGACCTGCAGAGCCCTCGCTCTCCAATCTTTTTTATCATTCGCTCCATCCGAATCGTACGGCCTCAGATCAATCGTCGTCGAGGAAGAAACAGAGACTGATCAATCCGAAACGTCGGCGTAGTCTCGGTCGGTGAAGATGTCGTCCGGCACGTGCTCCACCGTCGAGCCCGCGGGCGCCGGAGAATTCATGCTGTTCGGCGTGCGCGTGGTGGTCGATTCCATGAGGAAGAGCGTCAGTTTGAACAATCTCTCGCAGTACGAGCAGCCTCAGGAGGCCGCCTCCAACAACGGCAATAACGGCACCGCCGCCGGAAAGGATGACGCGGCGCCCGGTTACACTTCCGAGAACGACGTCGTCCACAATTCTGGCGCAAATCGCGAGCGCGAACGCAAGCGAGGTCAGTCACTCACTCTCTCTCTCTCCCCTTGATAATCTCCGATCATCTATTTAAAAATCCTTAAATCATTCGCTTAATTATGTTTATTGTATTCAGTTGATCAAGAAATGGAACAAATTTGAACAATGTTTTGGTCATCGTTTACAAAATGTGCTCTTTTTTTTGTATGAATCTTTTGCGAATTTCTCACGTTCTAATTAATTAATCAAATCGCTAATTCTGTTTTTCTGTGTGAATTGTTCATATTCGATATCGGTAAAAGAAGAAATTTCGTTTGAATTTAGTTAATTTTTGTTGGAAAATGTGTATTTATTGTTTATTGTTGTGATCAGGGGTTCCATGGACGGAGGAAGAGCACAAGCTTTTCTTGCTTGGATTGCAGAAAGTAGGGAAAGGAGATTGGAGAGGGATCTCAAGAAACTTCGTGAAGACTCGCACCCCGACTCAGGTTGCCAGCCACGCACAGAAGTACTTTCTGCGCCGGAACAACCACAATCGCCGGCGCCGCAGATCTAGCCTCTTTGACATCACCACCGATACGGTAACAATTAAATTCCCGATAGTTCCTATAGAACTCAATCCATTTCATGTATTTTGAATTTTGTTGGAGCTTAATATGTTTACATGGATCTTAAAAGTAGTTGTTTTACAGTCATTTGAATTGGTGGATCTAGTTTTATAAGTGCTTTAGTGAATGAAATATGTATGCAATTTCTGAAATTTCGATGCGATCTCCTAGCCGATGAGAGTGAGCGTAAGATTATTTACGTTTTGATGATATATGTTCAAGATTTGGATTGCTTTTACTAGCTCGAGAAAGTTAAGAAACCCAAATCAAATCTGATGAACAATCCTATGTGTTTTGATTGTTTCAGCTTTGTTTTAAAGCTGAACAAAAAGTCAAATTGTAGATTCGTTATCCTGCTGAGTGGATGTTATAATTTCGGTTGTCTAATCAGCTCTTTTCAATGTTTTTTCGCAACCACCGGAAGGAAGAAGTTGGCTTATCATGATATTATCTTTTACTTGTGTGTTAGGTCTCTCCAACTCCAATGGATGAAGAGCAAGTACATCTTCAAGATATCGCATCTCAGTCGCATCCATTGCCTCCTCCGCCACTATCCGACCCTCGCAACGCCAGTGGATTTCCAATGGTGCCAAATTTTCCAATGACTGTAGGTCCAGCTGTCTTGCCAGTTCCCATTGAGAATCCTACGGAAAATCTAGCTCTACGACAAGCAAATCACGAGAATAGTGCTTCGGCTAAGCTCGTCCGTCCAATTGCCCTTCATTCGGCCCCTCATGCCACCGCAATGTCTGATCTAAACTCGACCTCAACAATGGACACATCAACTCTCACTCTCAACCTCTCCTTGTCAATGGACTCAAGGGAACCGTCATCAACGCATTCGGCTTTCAAGACAATGTCCGGATTCAGCAATGGGGATGGCGTGATCAGCGTCGCTTAAGTGTCGGTATGTGGGAATGTTTTATAATTTAGAGCAAATCGGTAAGATGAAAATTCTCTGAAAAATTCGACAACGGGTTTAGAGAGAAGGCGAGGTAAATTAAGGTGACCGAATTTGTTTTAGTTTGTTGTACAGACCCTTGAAGATAATGTTATGTCCTGTTAGTGTTGTTTTTCTGCTGTTCTTTCTCAGATTTTTGCTTTTCTTCTTGTTTCATTTGGATTACTGATGTGTTGGTCCCCCCTCGCTGGGGCCTGGTCTAAATTCACTAGTGTCCCTCGTAGAGGGGTAAAAGTATCAATTTGGGTTCCGGAGAAAAAGCAATCAGGGATAAGATCGAAGAGAACACAACGCACGTAGTGGTCATTATAGCGGTTCCTTCTAGGGAAAATACCCCTTCCGCACCCCATGTGGATGTCATCATAGCGTTTTGGACTAGTGATACAACACGTCCTAAAACTTCGGTGTGTCTTAACTTCTCCATGTGGTAATTAGGCCATCTCAAATCAAAGGAGGGCCAGATGACTTATTTTAGTCATTTGGCCTTTCAAGAAATTAGTATTTTAATGAACAGTTCAAAGCTATATTTATTACCATCTTCAACCGAATGTCAAAGGGCCATAAGGTCAAACATAGCCCTATAACAAAAAAATCATCTCCAACCGAGGGTCATAGGGTCAAACATAATTTATTATTTAAATTTAAAAACTACAACTTAAATTTAAGGTAAACCGCCAATTTACCTCCTGAACTATCACGCAACTTTTTATTTCCCCCATGAACTTTTTAATTGGAAAATTAAGGACTTAAACTAATTTTTTTGGCCAATTTCTCCCTGCCGTTAGTTTTTCATAGATTTCATCCAAATTAACGTTAACTCTTATCATGTGCACACCACGTAACTCTCCTTTGTGGACAAAAGCATCACTTCACTAGACTTTTAGACACAAAAGCTATAGAATCACACATATTTGCATAGGTTTATAGTTTAGAAATCTAAGGTTTTCAATTATTTTAAAGAATAAAGCCACCGAACTACCCACATTTGTTATGCACTTGCTTCCATTTAACAGAAATTTGGATGTAATGAATGAAAAATTAGCAGCAGGGGTAAATCGACCAAAAAAATTAGTTTGAGTCCTTAATTTTTCAATTAAAATTTTCAGGGGAGAAATCGAAAGTTAGGTGATTGTTCAGGGGGCATATTGGCAGTTTACTCCAAATTTAAAAACAACTTAAATTTAAAAACTACAAATTAAATTTAAAAACTGCAACAACTTATTGTTATTTAATGGCTTAGGAAGTTATAGGAAAAAAATAGAATTTTTTTTTTAAATTTTGTTAAAAAAAAAAAAAAAATCAACTATAACGGCTAGCTGACGTCAGCTAGCCGTTGCATTCAAATTTATGGTCTAGCACAGGGCTGGCTGGGTTAGGCTAGCCAGTTGGCCCTTTGGCCTTTTTTGTCCCATGGGGCCCACGAGCCTTTTGACCAAGCACTCAGTTGGAGACTGTTTTCGGGCTATTTTCGACCCTCTAGGCCTCTAGACCCTTCGGTTAAAGATGGCCTTTAGGGACCAATGATACAACACGATCTTCTTCTCCATACAACAATGTAACATTGGCTTGGGACATTGTCACGTTCCATCACATTGGCTTGGGATACTGCTGTTATAGCTAGTATATAAAATGGTATTAGTAGAAATATTGTTATGCAAATTTGTGGAATTATAAGTGGATATATCGATATTGGTTGCCGTCAATGGAAATGGTGGAAATTTTCTCAAAAACATGGAAATTAAAATGGAACTTTAGGCATGTCATATGATAGTTTGTTGATATTTAATCGATATATTAGAGATATCAACGAAATTTGTCAATTTTAGCCAAGGTTTAAAAGTTTCTCCGATATGAGGTCAACTTTAGACTTCACTCCTATTTTTCATATCTTTCTCTGTAAAAATATCGAGTATATTAAAGAAATTTTAAACACGAAGGGGTTTTTTATCCTTTATTTATTGTGGATGGAAAAATTTATTTTTGTTATCGTGGGCAGAATGTGGCAAGGCCCACAATAATGGATCATGGTTGTTGTAGGCACATTATAATATAGAAACGTGTACGTGACGACATTGGTGGATGGTTTATCGGAATGGCTATATGGATTTCTAGGTGTCAACTTTTATGACTTTGGTCGGCTTTTGGCACTAGATGGATTGGGTGATTAATTAGGCACAAATATGGTTGCTTCACTGCCACTTTTTGAATGGGATGTGGAAAGCTTAGTTTGGATGGCTGAAAATAACTAAGGTGCTCTTGGATTTTAAAAGCACTTGTTGGTGCTTTTCAAGAAGCATTTTCAAGTTTGGCAAGGGATTATTTTGATAATGATCATTATGAATTCACAATATTGATAAATAAAATTTTATTTTATTTTTTTCGGGTCGAAAAAGTAGTGCCACACTCATTTTTACTCTCACACGCCCCTCTCACTTTTCAGCCCTCGGATTGAATGTATTAAGAAGATTGATGATAAAAAATTAACAAGCGTGATAGGTAAAAATGGGGTGTGAATATTCCAGTCAAAAAATGGATTCATTGTGACAAAGATCATGATTATCCACCATAAAATTTTATATCAAGAGTTGAAATTAAAATAGTAAAAGCACACATATTTATTCTCCACCCTTGATATCAGATCAAGGGTCGAGAAATATTTGTGTACATGAAACACAAGATGGTATAATACGTGTTACAATATAAGTAAACGACATAGTTAATATGTTCCACTAAGGTTATATTTTTTCATTTCCCTCCACTAATATTATGCCACGAGCTGTACCGCCTTATGTTCCAAGTACATTCCGTTAAAGCGACACTCCTTTCCTCAAAATAAAGACTCCTTAATTTGTATTAATACATTGGACATGAAATTATATATTGAAAATGGAACAAAATGTGCGTGTGGTAAAACATACTCTAAATTCAAACTTTCACCGTTACATGGAGAACAATTTGGAAGACCATCTTCACTTCATCTGGTTTTCCTTCCTGTTCCTTTCACTCTTCCAGTTTTCTGCTTTCCAGCTGAGCCTTCAGCTAAATTTATACCGACGAAAGCCACGGGTTAGGTGCCACGTAAGTGTACCCCTGGAAATGCTCACCCGCAGTTGGTGTAGGAGCGGGTGAGTCTTCCAGAGGCATTGTAGTCCAGCACCGGTCAAAGTTGGCCGTGCAGTCTTTTCCGCTCACATCCGGTTTGAACTTTGGGAGCACTTCTCTGGCCTCCAACTTCTTCCAGTTGATTGATCGAAACCACTTATGGCTTTTGACGTTATCCCCTCCGTTCGGCCCGTTACCTAACCTCTGTGACGGATCCTTTTGTAGCAACTGCAAAATGACGGAGAAATATTCCCTTGTTCTTAGTTGTTCATCTGACAAAATGGAAATGAAAAGGGAGAAAACATCATATGGAAACATGTACTTACTCCTTTCAGCAGAGAATGAGCTTCGCTGGTTAGATACGACGGGAGTTTAACTTTCTCTTTGATGATTCTCTCCTGAAGTTTCTTTCTGTTTGCGTGTGTAAATGGTGGCTGCAGTAAAGCGGCAAAACAAATTTTGAACAGGCAGACAAGAGTTCGACAAGCTTCTAGTTTGCCGATAAACATACCCATGAAACGACACAATTTTGAACGTCAATGTTGCTTACCAACGTTGATATTCAACGTCAAGCTATCTGCTAGGGAAATTACAAGTTTACCTGCCCTTTTAGCATCTCATACAAAAGGATACCGATGCTCCACCAATCCGCATCTTTGTTATGGCCTTTAGACAGCAAAATTTCCGGAGCCATGTACTCTGTGGTGCCACACATTGAATTCGATCTGCTGGCTTCGTCAATTTCCTTTGCTAGCCCAAAATCAGTTAGCATGACCTGCATCACAGGTACCAATTTGAGGAAAAGTAGATGTCTGAGCAAGAAAAGGATATCTGAATACAATGCATGTTCCTACGACAAGAGTGAGTAAATAAGCATGGTCATTACGTGCCCATCAGAATCCACAAGAACATTCTCAGGTTTAAGGTCCCGATGGACAATCCCGCACTTGTGAAGATGTGCAACAGCAGACACTATCTCAGCAGTATAAAATCTCGCCTGATCCTCGCTACTCAACAAACATCCGAGAAAGTTGAAATCAAACCATATGAAAACATAAAGCGAGAGTAAAGCAATTTTCAAGCAATTCAAACACAAATTACCTGAAGATTCCCTGCCGGTATAGATGAAAGAAGAGATGCCCTCCGTTTATAAAATCCATGATCAAATAAAGCTTAGAGTTGGTCTGCAAAGTCAATACAAAACATACACAATCTTAAGAGCCTACAAGTATCCAAAACGAAATTCACATAAAATGGTTCACAGGGCAAGCAATCAAACAGTCACACAAATTTTCTAACATCTAATTTCGAAAGGAAAGTAAAGACAGGATCTTTGGTACACAAGGGCCTCGTTTGGCGTCCATTGGATCGATTAGACAACTCACTAGATTCAATATACGTTCCCTTACAATTCTACCAATTTTTCGGGATTCGAAGGGATAAGTTTCCTTAACGAGTAATACATCTATTACAATAAGCTGGGACAAAATATGGAAGTTGCATCCATTTCTTCCTTCAATATACGAGTTATCCAATCCAATCCGGGACACCAAACGAGGCCAAAAAGACCGAGATTTGAAAACCCAGCAAGTTTTTCTATCAATTTTCAAATTAAATTCAATAAAATTAACTAAAAGAAAATGAAAATTTAAGAAATAGTACCTGGAAAGAGTAGCGGAGCTGAACAATGAAAGGGTGCACAACCTTAGTGAGAATATCTCTTTCAGCTTTCATGTAATCAACATGGTTCTTCTTTATGATTGTGTCCTTCCTCATAACCTTCATGGCAAAAAGCCCATCACCGCCGTCACCGCCGCCGTTACTGTCGCCGTCGCTCTTCTTTCTCACTTGAAAGACCTTCCCAAACGCGCCCTGACCCACAACTCTCAGCATCTCAAAATCCGCAGGCCCGAACTTCCGAGCTCCGAGCTCGGTCTTCTCTGATTCCCCACCATTCCGATTCTCAGTTCCGATTGGGGTTTCCGATTCGTCGTCATCGCTCTGGGAATCGAGGAAGTCGGAGGTGAAGGGAAGGGAGGAGGGAGTGGGAGTGAAGCGCGGGGAGGGGCCCACGAAGGAGTGAGAGCGGTTGTGGATGACTAGAGGCGGAGGCGGGAATGAGGCGGCGGCGGAGGTTGATGAGTCGTTGGGGGTGGTGGCTGTGGGGCCGAAGATTTCGTTAAAGTCGAAGTCTTGAGGTGGGGATGAGGAGGAGGGGGAGGAGGACGGCGGGATTGTGAGGCTGCTGAGCTTCGCGGCCAGCAGGGAGTGGAGCGTTTTCTTCCGAGATGACGTCACCATGGTTCTTCAGCGAGCGGTCTCTCTCTCTGCTTCTACATCGTTGAACAGCGGAAGAGAGAGAGAGAGAGAGAGAGAGAGAGAGAGAGATGAGCTGAGTGTGTAAGGATGTCAGCTCATTGAAAGGAAGAAGACGTTGACTCGTTTTTGGCGGCGCGGCATTTGGTATTTATTACCGACACGTCGTTTACCCTCGACGACATCGATGTCTCACTTCGAAACGCATCGAAACGTTGAGTTGCAGACGACACAAATTTGATTAGACAGGTAAAAGAATGAATTCGGTTCGGGTCGGACCTTAATCCAAAAACAGAAGTCACTTACGTAGAATAGATTCACCGTCTCGTGTTGTGGTGGTGAATCTGTTATCGTCATGTGTTATGACGGTGAACCTGTTTCTTATAAGTCATTCCTTAAAATTAAATTATTTATAATTGAGTTTGGAAATAGATGTTTACTTAGGACTATCTCCGAAAGAAATCTCATATGTAAAACTTTAAAATGATATTTGATGGTTTATGTGGTAATTTAATATTTTATACAATTTTTGCTTCACCCAATATGTTTAACAAAACGTCATTCTATAATTTTTTTTCATCTCTTTGTCAGTTTAATTATTGAGAAAATCAATCAAATACTTGGAATACACAACAACATTTATTATGAATATAACATCACATCTATTAAAAAATTATTAAACCAATTTGACAGTTGTTGTTAAAAATGACAGCAAAAGATTTTACCTTCAATTGACTCAGCTCTACGTAAGAAACCAAAAGGCTCGGTTGGATAGGGTTTTGCTGCCATTTTTATTGTTGTATGTTTATGTGGCAGTTTTGACATCTCATTTGAAAATGCTCTTGTAAGTTATAGATTTGTAAGGAATTCATTGCTAAGTTGCTCTTAATCTCATAATTGTTAAAAAAAAATTAAAGAATAAAAATGTTTAATAAAATCAAGAAATTGATTATATCGGATATCAAAGAGGGATTATTTATTCATCCATTCTCGTACCAATTCATGAGTTCTCGAATTTCAAGTACAAAGAATAATACTCAAGTATTCACTAATGAGTATCTCATGATGCATTCAATTTTTAACAATTTTTTTTTTTTTTAAATGTTGGGATTTTCAAATTTAGATAGGATCTACATTTCCATTCCAACTTTAAAAATCTCGACTCTGCCCGGGAAAGCACTGCTACATTCAACATGAGAGATAAGAACACAAAATGGCACTAGTATTCGCACATCCATTTTTACATCTCACACACCTATTTTAATTTTTAACGTCAAATCAAATGAATTAAAGAATATCAATGACAAAAAATTAACAAAGACGTGTGAACGTGAACTATTCAACTGTCTAGATTACAACACATGAATCAAACCAACAAAGCTTTCAATATAATTTGTTCTTTTTTTCTAGCATCGCAAACCAATTGAAAAAAAACCTGAAACCCGAACAATGCCACTGTTTGGATTACAATATATTGAAGCTTTCAATATAATTTGTACAACCACCACCACCACCACCACCACAGCTTCCGATATCGGATGACATGAAAGGACGGAATACTCCTAAAGAATGCCTACATTTTTCTTTCCTTCAGTAATCTACAACTCTATACCACCATGTCATCCTACCCCAAAAAATGACAATGCCAAGGAAACCAACCACTCAAATACAGAAACCGTCCCTTCTCTCCCATCGATGCGAAGGGCATTGATTCTCCTTAAAAATTGGAGAACCAAAGTAAAACACTGAAACAATGAGGAAAATGCACAGTCGACAACTCATTTTACCGCTGACAGGGCGAGGCGTAAGCAAAATGGTCGCTATCTCTCGTTCATGATCCCGGTGCTATGTTCAACTCAAGTGGCCTCAAAGATTGTTGAACGATCTCCATAACTGTTCGATTACGGCGGCAAACATCCGATAGGTCCTCAATTGGAACAGACAGGGCATTAACGTTAGCCCCGGACGCAGCATCTGACAATGCTTTCAAGAATCTCGAACGCTCAACTTCTGTCACAGCCGTCAAAGGAACTAAAGAAATACTCTCCTTGGCCCACTCCACCGACTGAGGCCCATAAGCTCGAGATAAAGATAGTAGCGTGTAGGTTACCTGCAGGATGGGAGAGCACAGCGAAATTCCAGACAAATATTGAGCACGCGTACTGCCAAATACTCATGCAGTTAACAGTGTGAATGTAAGAGTCGATGCTGAGGATACATGCAAAAACTTACCGATTCTAGTCGGGAACTTGGAAGTGCTCCTGTTAGTGAAGCAATTAAAATTCTTGTTATGCTGGACCCTCGAGGAAGAATGACACAATTCCTGATTGGTAAGTATTGTTCTCCCCCGGCAGAGTTTCCAAGATCAAATATATCAGATAAGAACGTTAATATTGAATTTGATGCCTCTCTGCAAAGAAGAGAACGAAAAGGTAAATAGCCACACTCATAAAAGGTCAAACCAAGAAGATAACTGATATCAAACACGGAAAGAAAATGTCTATGACATTTTAATGACACAATAGCACCATATACCAAAGACCACTTGATACACGCAGATTCAGAAATCCGCCAAGGCTAAGTAAGAAGCTTCAACAGAGCCAAACTTTCAAATAAATAACGAGAGGAGAGAGGGAGAGGGAGAGGGAGAGAGGAGGGAGTTGTGAAACAAAAAATAATTTCTTCAACAAAGATCTCAGACTCAACTGCAACCAGATATTTAACAGAACATGGTGAAAAATAATTTTACTTGAGAAGTTGAGGTCGCGTTGAAATTACTACGCATACAGTTTTGCAATCTCCTGGAAATTGTTTGAATTTTCAAACTTTCAAACTTTTATTTACATGGAGAGAGAGAGAGAGAGAGAGAGAGAGAGAGTACCTGTGATGCACTGTAATCCCAATCAACGAGCAATCTACTAATGATGGAAATACAGCTGACGGAATAAATAATTGAGGACAATAGCGAATGCATCTTGATGCCAACAGAAAACAATCATCTGCTATATCAGGTCTGGCAGTAAATTCCTGCAATACTTGTGTAAGTTAATAAGAAAAAAGATAATATTTGAAAGAAAAAACAATTTCAGGCTCCAGCCCAATGAAAACTTACCTGAATGCTCGTGAGAAGACGTGTTGTGTGCATAAAAAGTGCTTCAATCAAACTTTTCAAATAATTTGCACAAGATGGGTCAGAACCGAATATCTGCAGCATAAGAAACAACAAATGCACCATTTTAAATTTACAGAAAACAATAAAAAAGAAGAGAAAAATAAAATTCAGGTTTTTGGGTTTTAGGATAGTTTGCCTTTATAACTTCACTAGATAAATAGAGGAAGCACGGTTGGTGATGCTGTTGATATAAACCTTGAATCTCTTCTAGCATTGCTCCAATTGTAATTCCCATGCACCTTCCAGAAGTCCTTACCTAAAGAAGGAAAATGAGTAAGGCAAGAAAGATTTCAATATAAAATTACCAGAGAATCAAATTCGTATGGCTCACACAAAGCCGGTAACGATAGAAGAAAGGAAGACCATCTAGATATATTATTAATCATATCACGTAAGGCAATGAGAGGCGGCAGGCAAAAAGACAGGAACCCATAGTTGGATCACATGATAGCTTTAAACATTTGAGCTTAACATTTAGAAGCGGGATCAATGAACTCACAGCGTATTTGCAAGCTCGGCAAAGAGACTCCATTGTCCGCATGTCCCAAGCACGACTTCACCATAAACATTCAAATCATGCATTAGAATAAAGAAAGGAGATTAAGATATCCATACTGAAATATGTTACACAGCTAGGTATGTAGAAACACTTACAGATCAAATATGGCTTTAAAAATTGGCCAAAGTCTTTGAATTGCATCTGCCACAGCTTCTGCATGATTCACATACCTAAAGATGTATCCAAATCGATCGATGTGAACTGTTAAATCACGAGCAGACTTGCTATTTAGCGTGTCTGGGCCTTGGCTGACAATTTCCTGGTTGTTGACAGCAGTAATCAGCATATCACCAACAAAAGGATCCATACGTAGATTTTCTTCTAAAATGAAACATACCTGTAGAGGAGTAACAACGGGCAAGCACAAGGCCTCCAATGCCCTCTTAGCATGGTCTGGAGGAAGTTCAGTAATGACCTTGCTGCATGCAACAGTTCAATAGACACTTGGATCAGCTGTATCATGCAAAATTACGTAGTTCATGCAACAGTAGAACATGCAGAAAATAGTTACCTTAAGGCTTCAACTAGATGTAGTGAATCATCAGCAGCGACCTTGAAACTGCCTTCACCACTCACTGCCCTACGGTATATATGGAAGAGTCCATCCAAACATCCACGGAGCTTTAATCGGCAATCTGCATCCAAAAATAAAAGCATTCAGAGTTATTAACTATGAGGCTAACTAGGTTAGAAATCAAAGAGAAAAACAAAAAAAAAAAAAAAAAAAACACTACATAAATTTTTTTCTTAAACTTATGAGATTAGTACCGTCACAAATCTGTCTAAATGCCACAGCTGCAGCTGCTGCAGAATCTTCAGATATACCCATGCCACTCATGAGGATATCTAGAACTGAAGGCAGTATGGACAGTCCGCCTGATGCAGAATCAAGCCACTTTGAATACGCTCCAATAGTTAAGCAAACTGCAACACTCTCCACATGCAGGTAAAATGAATTTAGTACACCATATTAGACAGACTGGTGAAATATAACTTCTATTAAACAATACCATTCACAACAGAGGAACTACAACTAATATAAATACATTACCTGTCTGAAGTAGTTGAGGATGTTGAGGCAATGTAAGTAGCCTATCCATAACCTGTGCGAATCAAAGAAACCAAAAAAGAAGTGAGTTTTGTGAGATCATAACTTAGGCATGACTTCAGTTTCAATTTCTATAGGACTATTGGGCACAACATCGTACCTTGGGCATTACTTCAGCTTCAACTGCTGAAACATAACTTGATATTGCCCGGATGCCGAACAAAGCAGCTTCCGCTGGGCGCCATTCACTTTGTTCACTGTGACAGCACGCTGCAGCCTTAACAAAATGAAAATATTCTGTTCAAACCGTAGTGGAAAAATGACATAGTGAATCTTACACAAAAAGAAACTAAAACTGCTAAAGCAGCAAAGGACCACTCCGTGAAAGAGAAGATTAAGCAATCCTTCAATGCATTAAATATTTCCAAACATACAAGTTCTTTACAGGTTAATAAGATTTCAATGGACTCACATTTAATTAAAATATCAAAAGAATATTTAATGAACTTGAAAATAAAAATATGGCCAAATAACTATATTTTATGCTCTAACTTTCAGAGTTTTGGACCAAAATTTCATCCCACTGGAGTTACAGTGAGAAAAATCAATACATACCTCATCAAGCTTCATGTAAAGAATTCTAAGTGTGGCATCCCCCCCTAAAACTGATGCTGCGTCAATTAAGACATCCGCAACAGCTGGAAACAATATAGAATCAGTTAGACATGAAGCAATGCTACATTCGGTGTCTCACAAAGAAGAGTATGACTAAGGAAGAGGCAAATAAACTGACCAATCACATATAATAAAACTAAACAAAACAAAAGACCAACTTTCTAGTGGCACTGTGATCTCCAACCCCAGTGGTTTGGAAAAGGACTAATATGAATATAACCTTACAGTACAAGACATTTACACATGGATGAAATTTAACTGATGAACCAATAGAGAGAGCAGGTTGATAGATTGACACCAATAGCTTAACTTATAGGCCTTGCAAATAGTATAACTTGCACCTATAACCTGCAAATCTGGGACAAATTACATCAGGAGGCATTAACAATGAATGCAAATTGATCAGCTAGAAGTTTCGTCCTATGCTTTCTAAACGCTTCAACAATGAAAACAATAGCATACAACATAGACAAAATTTATGAATGAAACTATAAGACAATGATGGACACCCAACCAAACAGCTAGGAATTACCATATCTAGTATGCTTAAACTCCTTAAGATCCTCATTTGAAAGGTCTTGATAATCTTGAGGATATTGAATCCGAAAGCTAACCTGTCAAAAGTATCAGCCTCTCAAAGTTTAGTACAATAAAAGAATGTCAAAATGCATGTATGTGGTATTTCATTGCTTCCATCATGTTGAAGTTCAGTTGTAGGATAATTGACCATTTTCCCATAATAATGTACTTTTTATGATATGAGGAAATTAATTCTCCAATCGTTTCACACCCATTTAATTTATGTGACAAACAGTAACCATGGTGGATCCCTGTAGCAGATAATCATTTCTTTCGAAATCCACTAAGCAGAACACAGATACAAATATCAACAACACTAAAGAACATATGTGATTGTCTTTAGAATCATGAATCCCAGGATAAGAAGCTAAACTATTAACTTGGTAAAAGCACTTAATTATCATGAGATCAATCCAAAAATGTAGGGTGACAAATAGTGATATCATTACATTAAGAATACAACACACATCAGATACAATCAATTGGTGTTTGGAATGATGCCAATAATTACAATTTTAAAGCTTCTAAGAAAAAGAACTTACTAAGGATACAAGTGACTCATAAGCTGGACGAAAAACTTGCAGCCTTCTATTTCTCTCAGCTTCAATGGAAGATTCATTCACAAATGAAATATACGATTCCCTGGAAGATTAGAGTTCTTATACTGAATGTCTTGTTTTAGACAAAATCAAGTAGACTGTAATTCTAGGATGACTAACCTTCTGGTCAAGTTCACCTGAAGACTGTGCCAAAAGTTGAATGTCATGGAAGCAATATAGTACTCTGGGTGTGATGCAACTTCCAATAACGCATGTACAATCAACATTGATTCATCTGAGCCTGAAGAAAGGATGATATCAACCAAAAAAGAAACAGATCAGAGACAATTCAAAAAATTCGGAACTCATAAGAGACAAAAAGCATCCAATAAATCCTCAGAGAAGTTTTTGATAGCTTCTAAATATGTATACCAGTTGCAATAAGTTCAACATATGAATCACCCATGTCAGAAAATAAGCGAGCAATGGCCTTCACATCTTCCTCATCCTGAAAACAAGTATAGAGATAGGGTAAAATAACCATCAATGAAATTATTTCCCACTTAAACTTAATGATTAAAGAGTTGTTAGTTGATGCTTTTCTTGTAGGTAAAAATCACTTTTTAACCCAAATTAGAATCTACTGTGATTGGCAATTGATGAAAAAAGAAGGTTTGAAGTTTATATGAAGCTCACCTTCATATCTACTGTGATAAATAAAAAATAACTCCTTATACTTTGACATCAATGAATAAATAAATCCTTGAAAAATACAAGTGAATAATGTTTAAACAGGAGACTATGTGTTTAGACTCTTTAAGTAAACAATCCAGTATAACTTAACTTTATGAAATTATACACCCCCTCAACCCTCAGAATAAAAAAAAAATAAATAAAAACGAAACTTGTACAACGCTACACATAGAATACCTTTGAAGAATCTCTTAGCTGTCCCTTCAGATTCATTACTTGAGGGACAAGAACTTGAATTAAGGGCATCTGCACAGAGACACCACCTGAGCTTCCAGCTGCTGTATAGTGGATCAATTCAGATATAACTGCAACGAAAAAGAAAACGATGAGGGGAAACAAAGTAAGAAAATCCACCCGAGGGTAAGGCATAAATTGATGCAGTAAACACACAGTAAATGCATAAATAACAATATGTTCTTCACAGAGAAACAATATGAAATGACACAAACAGAGAGCTGAGTTAACAGATTTCAATAGAAACTACACCATCCATGCTGAGAGAAATGCTCAAACATTGACATGAAATAATTTGCCAATAACATTGAACCAAATGTCAGAACATAATGATTTTATAGACAACTTCAAAAGAAATATAACTAAAAACATATTCTATTCAAGGAAACGTTATATATTTACAAGAGTTACTTTCAGTCCCATATTTTCCACGGGTTTGATGTAAGAAAAATTAATGTATGTTACCTCTAATTCCATGACAACTATCTAGATAATACGTACTTCAAAAGATTTATTGTACTATCTAAGCAACAAAAAACATTCAAATACCCTTTTAAATATCTTTCGATATAGAACCTCCAAATGTTGAAACTGAAATCCTAAAAAGCCAAATTGATCCAAAAAAGTCCGTTGGATGTTCTACCAGGAAATCTACACCTCAACAAATTATAGAATTACATCATACTCAAACAAAGAACAAAAAAACTCTTAAAGAATTTTCACATATAGCAAGCCTTTGAAAGAATTTTCAAAATTGAAACAAATTGGATTTATTGGGTGCTTTTATCACTGCCATAAAATCGCCATAGTAAAACCAACTGAAAACACAGATTTATCATACAGTTCCCTAAGAACCACCAGGTTCGTAAAGTTGTTTTTACCATTTACTGCGGCCTCTGAAAGTAGCTCAGAATTCAAGCTTGAGAGAGCTGTGAGCACCAATGGATGGGATGCAAGCACAGATCCAGGGATCCTGAAACCCACATAAGTTCATTTAAGTACCATGAATTGCTATCATTTATTTAGTCTCCCTATAAGAGGAAAGTCAGACAACTGCACAAGATGTAATTCAGGACTACCATATCAACACCCACAAACAATACCAAATTATAAGAACAATTACACTGATGGCGACTTGTGTAGGCATGCAACTATGTATATTAAAGAAAGAACAGCCTTCATCTATAACAAGCATTGAGTAAATCAAAACTTGCAATGTTTGATACCATAGGGAAAATAAATGCAAACACATAGATGAACTTGAAGGACTTTGTCTCAAGTTTAATGCCTTAAGTTGTACGATCAAAGTATTATGCACTCTCATATAAGCTAGAAGGATGTAATATATGATCCACATTGACTACTGGTGAATCCTAAACCACAGACTCAAGTCCACATACAAAAGTTCAGAGTAAAACTGCATATTGCAGATTGTTTGTCACTTGGGCGGCATTGCGAGGCCCTAATTAATATTTCCAATAGACTATACATCCTCGAGAAACGACTCACTCAGAGAGAGAGAGAGAGAGAGTTCATACCCATGTTTCAGTCGAAGCCAAGAAGCAAACGCTTCAAGAACCTGAAAAACCAACCAGCTAAAACGATTAAAAATGGCACTCTAGCAGCCGTCAGAAAAAAACTGGCAAGTCTCAAACATCAGCATAGAGTAACTTATACAATTATTAAACAATAATTACCTGCTCCTTAAGTTCAGTAATATTCAAACAGGCAGTCAAGATGTCAAGAGCAACCTCAATTTGTGAAGTAAGCTCCTTTTCAAATTGGCGGCGTCTTTCCGGGCGAGCTGCAATTTTGTAGTTGAATACTTCCTGAATTTAAATCCCAGAAGGAAACGAACATGGTGAAAATGTAGCCATCTGTCAATCGACTAAAGTTCTAAGAAAACGTACATTGTTTCGGCTAATATATGAGACCACTACATGAATTCCCTCAAGGAAAAAGTAATGAAAAGACTGAAGAACATGATGCTGAACAACTTAGGAATCATTAGGAAGGGAAAGGTATGCTTTAGAAAGGACATGCATCATTTCTAAAGTGTACAAAACACATTCACCATATTACATGGAGAGTATTTAAATCAGCTTTGTCACACACAGTTGCACACTACAGTGCAAATATCAATTCAGCAAGCATCATATCTAATAGTTATTTACCTCAGGCAAAACTGTTAGTAACTCCAAAAGTCCTGGTATGTACTCTGGATGCAAATTCATCTCATCACGAAGCCACTTCACAATCCCACCATCCCCCCAATCTTCAGCGCGAACATGTACAGCCAAAGCAGCCACAGCAATGCTAATCTACAAAGACAGATAGTTGAGCTTAATATCCTCCGGGGATCCAAAAATCTGATGAACGAGTGTCAAAGAGACTTCTGGGACACTACCTGAGTTCTGACTTTAGGGGGGCCTTTGTGGAATTTTCTCAATAAGTTCTGCATTCAAAATATGCAAGAACAAATAACGTTCAATATTGTATAGAAACAATCAAATCATTCTTCATATAAACAAAACAGGTCCATGACACTGTCAGAAGACACTAAGGTGTAAAGCTTACTCAATTCTCACTCAAATTGTCAATGGATAGTGGATACTCACTCACATTTAACGAATCACGTAACGGGCGAAAAGCTTCAGAAGGTAGTTCTTCAATATCTCGTTGTACCTAGACAAGATACAAAATGAACTAAGAATCTACACACGCAACCAGTACAACATAAATAAGGCTTAAATATTTGAACATTAGATCTTTTAAGCTTCCATAGAAATAGGACGTAATAAATTAACTAACTGCATGATTACAGGCAGCCAGCTCTAAGGAGAAGAGAATTACCTTGCTTCTAAGGGTCTGAGAACAAAATATTAATGTTTCCAGATTGCTAGTTGCATCATGAAGCAAGTTATCAGCAACCTAAGAAAAAGAAGCAAATTAATGTTCAGAAAACTCAACAGTGACAAAATCCAACTTACAAGACCCATATACAAAAACGAAAAATAAGAAGAATAAGTTCAGCATTTGTTTTGGCCTAAGGTAATTATTAAACTTAGAGAGCAAAATTCCGTACAATCTAACAGGTATAAGAATAGAATTAGAACACTAATCACTCATAAAAAAGTACTTTGGCAAGAAAATTTATATGGAAACCATACAAAAAAGACTAAAACTGCTGGTTGACTTTTACCCTCATATACAAAAAGTGAAAATCTTGAAAGAAATATTTATCATTGATTAAAAAAAAAGGTTAAGGGTATAGATTTAAAGCTTACTAGCTACTAGATAATTAAAAAACGCCAGATGCCCTATCTTGTATGCGTGTGTGTGTGTTTTAACTTTTACGCGAGTACTAAGAACAGGCATGGTTTAGGAATGTGATGTCCTACTGTCTTGGACACTTTTCAACACATTGCAACACGGGGAAATCGTTTTTGTGTTAAATTTTATGATCTCAAATAGATTCTTTTTTTTTTTCAAAAAGTTCAGATTCATTTTGTAGTTTACACTACAATAACATAACTAGTTCACACTGCAAAAATACATGTATAATCATATCATCCTTGTTTATTAAGCTCAGTATTTGAGTATTTATCATTTTACGTTGTTGTCTGGATCATAGATGAGCATCCTATTCCAGATAAGAGAGATGCCACAAGCAAAAATCAATCAATTTTCGCAAGGTAAAACCTTTCGGTTCGAAATTTTCTCACAAACTGACCAAGACCTACAAATTGCTTCCCTCTGGCATATTAAAAATGAAATACATAAGAAAATAAGTAATGCTTCTGACCCAAAGCATACCACTCAATTCAGATTATTGACCAAAAACCCTAAAACTGAATTCATCTAATTCAAATGGAAGGAACTAGGGATTCCAAACGACTCAAAATCCAATTTCATCACGATTGACAAAAACACCAAACTAATCACTGAAATTACAGAGAAAATCGAACACCAAACTCTCACAAGCTACAGCCACCGATCAAAAACTTCAAAAAACCGACAGGAAAATTCAAATCTACGAAAAGAGAAAAGTGAACGGAAAAGCACCTGCCAGGCGTCCAGCGTCCGCAAGAAGTCCTGCAGCCAGTGATCGGCCTGCAGGCGGACGCCGTCGTCGGGGTGGTGGTAGAGTGCATTGAGGGCTTCTTTCACTGTGTTCTGGAGCTCCATGGTTCGTCGTCGCAGCAGCTCTCCGAGCTCTCTCTTCGCACTTGGTCGATTTGTTCTTTTTCTCTATCCTTTTTTTTTGTGGTTTTTTTTTTTTGATAAAATAAAACGGGTTTTTGGCGCCCCACCCCAGTGAGAAATCGATGGTTTTTGGGGCTGTCTTGGCCGTCGGATCTGCGTGCCGATGTTTGACTCTTGGTCAATCCGAGTAATCGGGTGGAGGGGCCGTGTGTGTAAATATGTGTTTTCTTGGGCCAAGTGTGTAAATATATTAGTTTGTTTGAAATGAAAGAGATGTCTGGTCGAATGGGACACGTGGCACGTGATTCGGATGTGACTGGCGAGAAAGTTTTTATTATGATAGTATGCCGATGGTATATGTAAGTTGTGGAAAATCTTATTTTTTAAATTATCAACTTTTAACTCAAGTTTCTCAATATTTAAATAGTAACAAGTGATATACCATCTCATGTGTCTGTCGCACTAAAAAATGTCACGTGACTGGGTGATCGAATTTGGGTCCCAACGTGTGACTCGCGCCAGGGCTGCTGTCCTAACGTATGACTCGCGTCAGGGCTGCTATGTTACGGTCTCTTTGGGCTTCGGCGGTTCGGCCCATCACTGACCAACCCGAATACGAATCCGAACCGGAACCGTCGTGGGTCAAACCAAGTAAAACGCCTTTTCCGTTGGAAAATCATGAAACCTGCATGTGCCATTGCAATTTTGCCTCCAAGCCGCGCTAGTTCTGCTCCGGAGCAACACACAGTAGAGAGAGAAAGAAGCCAAGAGAGAGAGAGGGAGAGGGAGAGGGAGAGGGAGAGGGATGGCTTCGCCGTCAGAACGCGAAACTCCGTCGCCGAACATCTACATACCGCCGGAATGGTCCGAGGCAGCAGACTGTATAGCATACGATTCAGTCACTTGGCCGCCACCCATTGCCTTAGTATGTGGCGCTAAAAACTGCGGAAAGTCCACCTTTTCCCGCCACCTCCTCAACATTTTTCTCCGGAGGTCAGTGAGCTTCTCAGCTCCCTTTCCCCACTTTGTAACCGTTGATCAAATTCACGGCTCTGATGATTAGTTTTTTGAGTAAAAGTTGATTTCTTTGTGTTTGTTTTCATGTTAGCTGAATTGGGTCACCTTATTTACCTGAATTCTCTCTGTTTTGGAAGTGAAATCTGTATAAATTTTTCATCTTTTAACTCGGTTTGTTTTGAATTTAAATTTTTACTACTTTTTTGGGTATGTAGGTTTGTTTTTTACCAATGTTTTTCTGTAATTTTGTTTTCAGGTATAAAAAAGTTGGTTACTTGGATACAGATGTCGGTCAACCGGAGTTCAGTCCTCCTGGTTTTGTATCTCTCACTGTAATAGATGAAGTCACTCCAGGCAATTGTTTATTTTCTGCACTTACTGTGAATAATTTGCTTTAGAATTTATAAGGATTGTTGATCATGTATTCATGTTAGAATAGCGATTTTGTTTGGTTTGATTGCTAATTGAGTTTTCTTTTCTTTTTTGGTTAAAAATAGATTTGACAATCCCGCATCTGAAGACACCGGAGAGGTATGAACAGTTTTCTGCCTCGTTATGGTTTTGAACTTGTTAGCAGTAGTAGTTATAGTGCTTACCGGAATACACTCAATATTATGTAGTAGATGACAAATATGTAGGGCAGAATATTGTTATTTGACTTTCCTTCGGAGCAAGGTTACTTTTTTTTTTTTGCTAGTTTCAAGCTGGGGAAAGGGTTTATCATATTCTTTACCATAAAGATTTCAATTTAGCTCATCAATGTTGTAGTAGACGTTGATTCCTTATATAGCATTTGGAATGGAGTGTTGTTCTCAATTGAGGAATTTAGGAACAATACAATTGGTATGAAAGTTCGGGACTTAGTAAGGGTTCAGTGAAGACATTAGTTGCTCTATAATTAAAGCTGTATGCATCAGTTTTAGATCACACAGTATAAACAAGACTTGAAGTTAAAATTATAATTACAAAGCTGGAAATTTTCTGTTCGCGGAATTTGAAATGGGAAGTAGTTGCAACCACTATGAATCTATTATCAACATTCCATGTAACTAGGACTAGTTAACCTGAGTTCAGTCCTCCGCTCCCTCTCCCTCTCCCTCTCCCTCCTGCTATGCACGGATTTTGTGATACTAGGTCTGATGTAATGAATAAAAGGAATCTTGGAATCTGATGACTTATAATTTGTCTCTTTTCCTCAGATGTCTTTTCTTTGGTGATGTTTCTTCGAAGACGAATCCTACAACATACTTGAATTCTATATTTTCTTTATATGATTACTATAAGAAGGAATACTGCTTATCTGACCAGAGTGATAGACCTACCAAGACTGGATTGCCTCTTGTTGTGAATACACCTGGCTGGGTGAAAGGTATGCTCTTTTAATTGGTCAATTGCTCCTTTCTTTTAATTGTGATTGAACAAGTTCTCCCTATCTGTAGTTTTGTTTGCTTGTTTGTTTGTCTTTCACTTGGTCAATTGCCCCCCTCTGGCTTTTTTCTGTGGATATTTTATGAACTAAATTTCCGCAGGTTTCATCTTATCCATGTACCGTTTGAGGCAAAGGCCAAGTGGCTATTTTATGAATCTTCTTTTGATGGTTATCGCTGTTTGGATATGAAATTTTGAATATTATATATGATTTCTTCATTCCTCTTGTGTACTAGGTGTTGGTTATGATTTATTGGTGGATATGTTGAAATATATTGCCCCTACCCATGTTGTTAAAATAAACATATCGGCCAAGAGTAAGAATCTACCAGGTGGGGCATTCTGGTTAGATGAGGATCATGATGCTATGCTAAATCTGATAGAGATCAATTCAGCTCGTCAGGACTCTTTCAATAGATCGTAAGTCTTAGCGTATTCAAGAATATCTGGAGACTTTCATTTTGGATGCAGGTTATTTGTACAGTTTTTTTAATTGCTTTTCCGCCCTTCCAGTACATTTAATTTCATTATTATTATTTTTTAATTCGAGATCATTTATGTGATGTATAATTCTTCTTTTACTTGATTAAATACTAAATTGCAGTGGTCACATTAGTTTCAGACCAAGTGCCAAATCTCTTTAGTAAGTTCCATAAAATATTTGTAGGAGGTGATCACTTTTAGTTAAGCTTAGAAGAATTCATCTTTTATAAAAGATTATTGAATCAAGTTATCAAGTGTCGGGAATTTACATAAATTATTTTGCTTCATAAGCAGCATATGCTGGTGGAAGAAGACAGGGAGTTATATGGATGTACTGGATTTCCCCGTGACATATTGTCTTTGTTGTGTTGCAGGGTTCTAGTACAAAAGGATGCACGCCTGTTGCGTGATGTACGAATACTGGCTTATTTCAGGCAGTGCTTTTCAAGTAGCCTAAACATTACTACAATCAAAGAACTTGCTAATGCTCTGGCCTCTCAACCTCCTTATGAAGTTCCAATATCTAGCATCAAGATTAGACATCTCCATTGTCAGGTCGGTTCTTAGTTCCTGACTGTTGATCGACTCACTGCAAGTTTTGGAAATTTTAAAATCTGTGTCCTTTACATGTACGAGTGAATTTTGCCTTCTATTCCTGTTTGCTGTGAGGGTCTTTAGAAAATGTTAGGGGAGAGCTTAGCGGTGATTACTTTTGTACCTCATAGCTTTTGATTTTGTGTCAACGACCAAGGGACTTTATTACTATTAATTGCTGTTATAATTTCAATTAAGGCTTGTAACAGTTTAGTTCTTTTATACCAGGTCCCAAGTGCTGAGAGCTTCTACAGTTTGAACGCAACCATTGTTGGCTTGGCAGTTAGCTCTGAAGGATCAAAAGATTTACCTTGGTGTGTGGGTCTTGGTAGGTTACTCTGTTTCTCAACATTTTGTCTATTATATTTTATCTATTATGTATAGCTTTGCTCATAATTTTATGTTTTCTGGCTCCAATACATGTGGGAGTGAGTTTTCAGAAAAATTAAGAAGACTTGGTTCAGGGTGGCAGGAAACTAGGTTCTTTAGTTTTTTATGCTTATGTTATTAGGGAAATCCAGATTTTCATTGTTGGTGCAATGCGGAAACATATAGATAGGTTGAAGCAATCAATTTGAACTAAGGTTCTTATGCATTTCAATTGATGCCTTTTTTTTTTTTTTAAATAGGAATTGTGAGAGGCATTGACACATTCAAAGGCTTGCTATATGTGATAACACCTGTTCCAAGAGGCACTCTGGAGAAGGTCAATCTTTTCCTGCAAGGTTATATCCAAATTCCTACTGTGTTGTTGCAGGTAACTGAACCCCTTCCATGTAATACATGTTTCAGACCAATTGTTTGCTTCTTCATAGTCTCTCACATGCATTCAAGTTTGGATTCTTTGCCCCTTTCCAAATACAATATAATCTTAGAGAAGGATTAACAGTTCGCGAAGAAACGTTCTTGTTGCATGGATAGTCAATCAGTCAGTTAACCACCATTACAGGGGTTGCTAGGTGTAGCGCATGTGCATGTGTGTGGTTTCGTTTTCAGAAACTGAAGATCTTCGATTGTGATTGAAATTTTCTCTAATACTCTAGTAGCACCATGTTAGGGAAGTTTATACAACAGCTAGGAGAATGTTATGGGCATGTCTACAGTAGTATACACATAATCACTCACATACACTGAACAAAATATCAGAATCTTGTCGTTGGCAGACTACTATTTTATTGGAAATCTAATGGAAGAAATTGATTCGCCACATTAAGGCTCGTTTGGAAGTGCTTTAATTCCCTTGTAACTTCCTTCAGTAAATGAAAAGAAGAACCTGCCTATCGGATCACCTAACATATATTACTGAATCTTTTGAATTTTCAGGTACAGGGCTGCATATCGCCTTACATGTCTGCAAATGTTCTCTCAACAAGCTAAGCTCGTTCGCAGTTGCTTGGGTTTCAAACGACATCCGTTACAGTCATTAAGCTAAGTTTTATCCCACCGTGCGAGAGACTGACAACCAAGAGGTCAGCTTGCATATGGAATTCCAAATAGACGATATTTTGTTATCGCGTGGATTTGATAGTAACGGAAATGTGAAATGGTTATATATGAACTACTGGATTATTGCTATACTATTTACAGGCAAGTGGTGATTACACAACTAGCAAAATTACATTTTCGTTGAAACTCGTACGCATATATCAAAAGTAATTGTTGTTGCTGTGAGTTGCAGTACTGCATTTTCAATTTATGTTTCATGGAGTAGTTTGCATTGTCGAATCACGCAACAAGTATTCTGAGATTGACAGATGGGTGATACAGAAAGGCAATGTAAATGCCAGGAATGGGTAAATTAAAGTGCCATCATCATCTACATTCTACATTTCTACAGAAGTAAATGCATTGCTGCCTGCCTTGCATAATTCCATTGGCATTTGCAAGCTTTCCAGAAGATAATTCAATGGGGTCGTGGAGTTTTCTATAAGCAAGGTTAGTGGTGTATGAAGCTTTGCTTGGAGAAGCTACATAATGTGATTGCATGTTGATCTTTTTCAATTTCGTTTTTTTTTTTTTTTTCATTTCTCGGAGCTAAAAAAAGACTTGGCGCAAAACTTAACTAAGCACATTGGCGTTCTAGGATTCATATAGTCGACCACACTTAGTGGGGTAAGGCTTTGGGCGTTATTTTTGGCACCGATGGTCCCGGTACTTTATCTAGATTTCACTTTTGTCACCTTGGTTTTTTTTTCTTACCATTTCCATCCTCGTAGCTTTATTTAGTCCAATCCAATCCTTCCAAATCATGCAAAACTCCCCTGAATCTAGCGTTGTCAAAGAAGATATGCACAAAAATGGATGTAGACGGATTGGACTAAAAGCGAACAAACCAAGACTACAAGACAAAACTGCAAGAAAAAAAATTACGTGGAGGACAGTGAATCGAGGGGACTATTAATGCAATTTGGCCTAATTTCGATAAATGACACAAAACTTAAAGTGGTTATTCCATGTACGCGGAACACTATCATGTAATATTATTATTACATTTAAATTATAACATGTGACAGATTGGATTTAAACTAAAACAAACCAAGACTACAAACAAGAAAAAAACTACGTGGAAGAAAGCGAATCCGGAGAGACTATTAGTGCAATTTGGCCTACTTTCGAAAAATGGCACAAAACTTTGAGTGGTTTTTTCATGTGAGCGGAGGAAAGTGAATCCGGAGAGACTATTAATGCAATTTGGCCTACTTTCAAAAAATGGCACAAAACTTGTGCAATTTGGCCTAGTTTTTTTCAGGTACACGGACCATCGTCATGTGGTATTATTATTACACTTAAACTATAACACGTGAAATAATAACACCACGTAACAGTGTTTCTGGTACAAAATCGCCTCCAAGGCTTATGATAGATAAACTAACCTAGGTCCTTATCACCCCCAAGATTTCTTCTGGAACACAAAGCTATAAGTAGAACAAATCAGTGGCTCAGACTCCTCTCACAAAACGCCAACGTTTAACCCTAATCCAGTTGGTTGGCAAGTGCATGATAGACCGTTATTTCAGGTACAAGCCAAGCCTAACAACCGCCATTTTTCTCCAAACCAAATTTTCCTGCATGTTTCCATGTATAGGCAGCAAAATTCCACCACCCAAAATTTAAAACCTTGCTTCGGAAAACCTTGCCCTCTCCTTCTTTTAGACATTTCACACACCAACACACAGCGAAAGGTCGTGATCTCGGAACGGTTTCGTGCTCCGCCAAGGTCATGATCTTAAGCACTTTTGAGAAGAAGCACTTTTGACTCCATTGTCGTGCTCTCTCTCTTGTTTCCGAACGAATTCAGATAGAGAGAAGGCCGGCATTTGTTTGTTTTACGGTTGTTTTCGTGTTGGAACAGCGAAAAAACCAATATGACGAAGCGATCTTTTACTCGTTATGTTGAGCAAGAGCTGGGGAGGGTGCCGCATTTTGTGCTCTACGCTTTGCTCGAATGGACGCTGATCATTCTGCTCTTCGCTGACGGGTTCCTTGCGTTTGTTGCCAACGAATTTGCCAAGTTCTTCGAGCTGCAAATCCCGTGCTGGCTCTGCACCAGAATCGATCACATTCTGGTTCATAGGGACCAGGGTTTCTATTACAATGACTCCATTTGTGAGGGTCATAGGAAAGATGTTTCGCATCTTGCTTATTGCCACAACCACAAGAAGCTGTCTGATATACGAAAAATGTGCGAGGCGTGCCTGCTTTCGTTTGCAACCGAGAAAGAATCTGACTGCGATACGTACAAGTCCTTAGTTGGGATCTTGCACAAGGATCTCGAGTGCTTTGTCGAGGATGATCACCACCAAATTCAGCTGAGTGTGCAGGCGGCAAGGACGTGGGAGGAGACGACGGGGCAGGTTGAGAAGAGCAACAGCATTGTTCGGGTTTCATGTTCGTGTTGTGGTGTGCCATTGAAGATGAGCTCCTCTTCCAACTCCTATCCCAAGGGGAAAAATGGCAGCGCATTAGCGCAGGCGCCCACGCCTTCTCCACGAGCACCCTTGAGAAGCGATGATCGCAGCTTGGACTTGCCCCACATTCGATGCACTGAACTCAAACTCATGTCGGGTCATGAGTCCGAGCTTCCAGAGGACGAGTATGGATCACAACCACCGAATCGTGACTCTCAGTGTGAGTTTAACGTAAAAACTTGTCATACATTATTTGCTCACATCCTTGTCTATTTATATGCCTTCATTCACTTCCCATTCCCAAACTTGTTTAAGCCTTCTTTTTTTTGTTTTTCGGTTTTTCGCAACCATTAACTGATTCGGAGGATGGAATTTGTGCAGCAGTCAAGGAAGATCCGAAAGCAGAAGGTGAAGATTTGGCTGATGATGCAAACAGGACACCTCTTTTCGGTAAAGGAAACAGGTTTTTCGGAATCCCACTTACAGATTCAGCTACAAGCAGTCCTAGGGTGGCAATGAGGATTTCGAGGAAATCGCCACTTGAAAAAACCGGCGAGTATGCCTTGGAATCTGTCGAGGAAAGCACTCCAAATGAGGCAGAGTGTGATTCCATTTTGCACCGGTTGAAGAGGCAGGTCCGGTTAGATAGGAAGTCGCTGATGGCATTGTACATGGAGCTAGACGAAGAAAGAAGCGCTTCGGCTGTGGCAGCGAACAATGCAATGGCTATGATCACCCGGCTTCAAGCAGAGAAAGCTGCTGTTCAGATGGAGGCCTTGCAGTATCAGAGAATGATGGAGGAACAGGCGGAGTATGACCAAGAAGCGCTGGAAGCTACGTATGATCTGCTTGCCCAGAGAGAGGAGGAGCTCAGGCTTATAGAAGCTGAAGTAGAGGCGTACAGAGAAAAATACGGATTGCTGAAGGAATTCGCTTACGAATCTGGTGATGAAGGCAAGGGGAAAAATGAAAGTGGAACTTCTCCCGGTGAGCCCAACAGCGAAAACACACAAAATGATCAACCAAAGGAGGAGAATGTAGAGGGAGCCCTTGCTGAATCTTTGAAGCCTTTGAAGGGGGAGAAAACCTACCTCCTCGGTCGGATTAAGAAACTCGACAAGAGAAGCAACTTATCCGCTAATCATCTGGATGAGATAGGTAACACACACAGACACACGCACACACGAACACACGCGCATAAGTAGAAAACGAGCATGTTAAATCTCTTTCGTTTCAAACAAATGACCCGATTTATGCTTCGAATTTGGCAGGAAACGGAAACAAAGCTGCTCTAACAAGGCAACTGTCAATGCTGTCTCATCTCAGTGAAAGGGTGAAGGTCCTTGAATCAGACACAGGATTGTTAGAGTATGCAGCTAAGACACTTGAGAAACATAGTGAAGGAACAAAACTCTTAACAGAGATAACTCAAAACTTACAGAAGCTTCGGCATCTCGTCATGATGCCACCGGAGGAAAACAAGGAACGCAACGGGTTACCGTAGATTTTTCCGGCATCCCTAATAGTTCCGATGGTAAAATCGCTTATACTAGTTCTACATGTTTTACATTACATCTCTCTCTCTCTCTCTCTCTCTCTCTCTCTCTCTCTCTCTCTCTCTTTAATTAGATAGCTTGAAATCCCAATTCATCTGTAAATCTATTGTTTTTACAAGGTAGAAAAGGTGAGGCCAAAACCTCACAGCCGAGGAGCAAACCCGGCCGTGGAGGACCAGAAGGGCCGGGCGAACCTCCGCAGACGGATTGTTTCTTGTCCATTAGAGAGTTCTTCTGTTACACTAGAGTCGTTGCTTCATGTATGGATCACCAAGCATATGATTTTCCTGTACTTTGTATTCTCTTTACCCATGAAGGAGGTTTCCCCTCCCTAAATCGATTATTTTTTGTCTCGGCCATGTCGGTCTCCCGACATGTAAATGGAAAAAACCACTTGGATTACCACCCAATTCGACAGATTACCAATCGTTCCGTTCACCGGAGACTGAAAGCAGCTCATAAAGAACATGTTATCGCTAATTCCGTCGTCATTCGTTTCAACTCTTTTAATACAAGACACGAGTCTTACTGAAATCATCCTATAAATCACATGAATTAAGCAGCAGAACAACTTTAACCAAAAGAATGATATGTTTTCTTTCCGTCTCTTTCTCAACTAAACATCAAAACTCATCTTCTTTGTAAGACAAATCTACAAAAAGCAACACGACGCGAGAAGATTGCTAATAGGCGGTACGCTATGCGGATTACAAAAAATAATCTGGAGTTCTGCGCGTTGTATCAGGTTCAACCTGACGCGGTGCTGGGTCGAACTGAAGGAAATTCTGGTCCATGTTCTCTCCAATCTCAAGAATTGCAGCCATATTTCCACAGCGATAGCAGTAATTTGGAGCACTAAACACCGTCACAACGTTCTTTTCCTAAAATAATTAAACAAAATTCAAAACATAACTCTGAAAGCATAAATTTGGTACGATACTTCTGCCTCTTTTGCACTAACCTGGGACCAATTGTAGCCTTCCATAACAAGCTGGTGAGCTCTAGAAATAAGACTTAGCCCGTTAGTGTGGTTAAACTGGGCTGCTATATCTTGTCCAAATGTATACCCTGCACCCCGAGGAGATATTCCCCACCCACATCGATCATCCGGGTCAGACCACAAGAGATCACACATTGGACCCTCATGAGGAACCTGCTCCATTCAAACAAGGGAAAATTATGATTACCACAAATCTTCTATACATATACCATGAAATAAGAATGCCATACGTGTACCAAGAGATGCCTATGGCAGCAGTCCGTAAATCGATATCTTGAAAAAAAGTCTTACATGGAAGGCTTTAATACAAGCCTAGAGTAAGTGATGTGTTACTTGAATATGTTTGAGCGAAGTTTAGTCAGCGATTTCTCTCTACACTAATATACTTGAGGGGCAAAAAGTGTTCAAGGAACTTAAATTGCATAGACAAGCGAGTTAAATATTGGAACTCAGGACCGCTCAAGTCTTATTTCATATACAAGTTAACAGGCAAGCAGATCTCAACAACCAAAGTAACATGGAACATGCAGATCAAAATCACGAAAAAATATATAAGCATACAATTTTGCCCTTTTATGTGGCAATTTTGCAAAATCACGAAAAATATATAAGCATGCAACTTTGCCCTTTTATGTGGCAATTTTGCCCTCCTATGTGGAAAGCAATTTGTGACAACTATGTAAGCATGCAACTCAGTTATATAGTTGTGTTAGTTTGTGTAACACACATAAAATAGACATCCTCATGAAAAAATATATTGTTAGAGAATACGAAGATGAAATAGAATTTTAAAATAAAGTCGAAACTTCAGTGTACCTCTTGTATCCGGTCCAGAGCACGAATATTGTCTAATGTATCTAACGAAGGAGAGAGTCCACCATGCAAGCAAAAGATCTAGGAGGAGGAAACAACGCTTGTTAAATGAGATAACGGAAATAACAAGATAATGATGCAGGACATAATATCTTCAAAAGTTAAACCTGACTCTCAATCAAGGCTGTGAGCGGCAGATAATCGAAAAGGTCAGTGAAAAACTTCCAGACGTTGGCATTTCCATATTTCCTCAAGCACTCATCATAGAAACCATACCTGAAAAGGCAACAGTTGACTGATATAAATCAGGATTTGATGCTTAAGAATCACTCTTACATCACTTCAACCAAATTTAGTTACTTCCTTTGAGTATTTGACAACTTAGTGAAGCGAATAAAGGTTATCTACAAATTATAAATGGCTTCTTTACATAACTAACCGAAACCTCCTCTGAATTGGTGGCAAATTCCACTAGTTTGTTTTCACTATCAATACTTGTAATGTAAGGTTGCACTTTTGGAGTTTGGAATGAAAACATTTGAAAAGAATAATGTCTTACACTTGAGTTATTTGCCGACTCTCATGATTTCCTCTTAGAATTGTAATTCTATCTCTGTAACGTACTTTCAGGGCCACTAGGAGTGTGACAGTCTCCACAGAGTAGTATCCGCGATCTGCATAAGAAAAAGGAAACAAGACAATTACTGAAAAAAGTTGCACAGGCATACTCTGGTAAAAAAAATGATTGAACAATCTACAATAGTGGAACATTAAATTACATCTTTTGTCATATAAGATTGCAACTGCATAGTCAGAGACTCAAATGACATTCAATTTCATGTTTACATGCAAACATGCCTAATTATCATCTTCGTCATCTTTCAAAAATTGACAGTATGCTCATTACTCAGAATAGGAACTAATTATAAATTCCGAAAAACAAAGATACAAAAACTATGAATTAAAACTAACTTTAAGGCTTGCATTGTAAAAATGTACAAAACTCGTGACTCAGTTAGACATGGGAAGTAAAGGAGGCCTCAAATTCAGCCTAGTGCGGTAACCCAAGTAAAATCTAATAACACAAACTCATCCTTATAGGGTAAAGCACGCACGAAACTCATCGTCCACTGCAACAGTTCATAACCTGCTGGAATCCTTAGAATACCGAAAATGACCAGCTTCAAACTCATTTTTCTTAAAAAAGCAACAGTCTGCTGCACCTTGCTGCATTTACATATTAACTAACTTAACCATATCAACTAAATACTAAAATTCACTGAAAGAAAAACATGAACAAACCACATTATCCAAAAATTCAATCTATTTCTAAATCTCAATAACACATAAACTAAATTAGTTAATTAATTACTTAATTAAACAACAAGGCTATGTGAAAATGCCCAAACTGACCTACATAGTCGCCCATGAAGAGGTAATTGGTATCGGGGGCGTTGCCGCCGATCCGAAAGAGCTCGACGAGGTCGTGGAACTGGCCATGGATGTCTCCGCAAACCGTGACCGGGCACTTCACCGGCTGCACGTTCCACTCCTCGACCAAGATCGTCCTCGCCTGCTCGCACAGCGTCTTCACCTCCGCCTCCGGCAGAGGCTTGCACTGCATCAGGTGCTCAATCTGACGGTCCAGATCGGCGTGCGGTGGCATCGTCGTGGATTTTGTTCGGTGCTCGTTGATTGGTGCACGGTCTGAGCTGAACTCGACGAAAACGGAGGGGATTCTAGGTCATGTCACCGGAGCGAGGTGGTGGAAATTAGGGTTAGGGTTTGTGGGGAGGGGATTTGGGGATTGGGTGCTGAAGCTCAAGTATTTTTGTTGCTGGTAACTGGTGCGCACATTGTATCAGAGATTCAGGGTAGGGAGTTTCCCGGTGGCGGTCCCTATAGTTTTATGTATTTATGTAGTTGCCTCCCATTTTTTGAGATTTTTGGTTTTTAGCCCGATACTGTAGCCATTAATTCCAGATGCGCCATTTACAATTTTACATATTTCAGTTTTTTTTTTTTTTCCTTAAATTATAGAAGGAAGTTCGGAGCGATACAAATCCGATATTATTAATAAAATAAGGGTTTCAAAAATAGTTACAAGCGATTTTGATTGACAGAAAGTACTTTTAGCCATCCTAAAGCATTTTTAAGGGTATTATTGGATGGGTAGTGCATTTTTTGAACATTTGACAAGCATGTATTAGACCGATAAATCACTAGAACTTTGTTTTTCTAGAAAAAAAAAGGGTTGTGGTCGTCTTAAAAGATAAGCTACTCATGTGTGTTGCAACAATAAAAAAACGTATATTTTCTCATAGAATATAGGAAATTACTTTAATTTAGACAATTTTAATAAAAATTACAGAATTAAGAATTACATTACTTCTAACTTGTCTAAACTCTATTCGTTTTAATTTGATTATATTATATTTTTACCAGGGATATTATCATTTTTATGAGAGAGGATAATGAACTCAAATCCGATGAACAATGGTTAATAGAAATTTTATGACGTCCATACAATAATTTATTTAGGAGCTGTTAATAATTATTTTATTTTTAACTTTTTAAAAGACTAAAGTTACTTGGTGAGTTTTTAAAATTGCTAGTTTTAAAGAAACACTCCTGATACTATTAACTTTTAATGAAAAATCACATTTTTACCTTTCACTGATACTATTTTCTACACATTTATTTGTCATTTTTCATTAAAACTAAAGTTTTGTTGAACTTTTCGTTAATTTTCCTTTTAAAATTGAGTACTAAACAACTAAAACAAGTGTTAAATATTACCCAAAAAAATAATAAAAAAGATTATTAAACGACTTGAATTCTAACTACTTAATTGTAAAAATGAGAAATTAAACGGAAACATTTTTTTTTTTTTTTTAACAAACGATATTATATACGCTAAATGGGAGGGGTGGGCTTAGCCTCACAATGAGCTAGCAATAATGTGGTTCAAATTTGCCTTTAACGAGAATCGAACCTAAGACCTCTCATTTACAAGTGAAAACCACTAAACTGTAATATTAAGTAGTTAAGCGAAAACTTCATTAAGAGAATAAAAAAACTCAAATGAAAAAATATCAAGAATTTACTATTAATAGCCAAAATTCAACACTTAATAAATGTGACTTTTTATAAAAAAAGAAAAAAAAACTTTCAAATATAGCAGAAAACTCACGTGAATAGACCTAAATGCCCTCAGAATTCAAAACCCATTTGCCCAAAAAAGCCAAACACTTGAATTGATCTCCTCGACATCTTTGGATTCTGAATTCTCATTAGCATCTGAATTTCATCTGACTTTATGAAATCAATTGTAATCAATCTGATGAACAAATATCACGAGCAAATTCTTTTGCGTGATTTCAGTTCAAAGAAAGGGCGAAAGCTAAGATCGAAAGATTGCTTTCATGCAAAAATTTATGTTTTATGTAATAAAAGAGTTGGCAATGCCAAACATGTGGATGAATAAATGGAAACTTATGTACGAGTGAGAGTTTTCTCTCATACTGAGAGTCTTCCTCACCTTCTGGTATGAGTCTTCAAAAATCAAGAACACCTGGTGACATCGACCCTAGCTGCGGTTGGGGTCGGTCGTCGTTTCCTCCCTTCTTTATTTCTCTCTTCTGTTTTTTGGTTATACTGCTCTCTCTCCCCCTGCTTTCAATCCAGATATATTCTTTCCCTCTTGCCCAGTTGATGTCCTTCTTCTTTGTTTATCTTTATTTAAGTTTTTAACCATGAATATCTTGGAGATCGTGTGTCGAGCTCCGGCGTTTTCACTGGCTCGGGTGTTTCCTACACCACCACCTTCTCCTGCTTATCTGCCGGCAACGTTGTTCATGGGTTTCCACGGACTTCATCCTGATAGCTGGCATCCGTTGTGCTGTTGTTGGCTATCCGCTCTTTGTGGCTGTGCTCGTGGAGCATATCGGGGTAGGATGCTGCGTCTGAAGAGGGAATTCTCGACTAGGGAGGAGGACTTGGACGGATCGGGGTTGCTTCGGAGGAGATGGTTGGAGTGGATGCTTCTAGAGTTTGTAAATCAATCTTTGTGTTTGGGCTGCAACAGTTGGTTAGCCCTGTTGTACTTTGTTTTGTTTTGGCCCACTTTTTGCTTATCCATGTGTTAATTTTGGACCTTTGTTGTATGTTTGTTTGCTTTTGGTTTGTAATAAAAGGTGCACTTTGACCAAAAAAATAAAAAGATTTGGCAATGCCGAGCCTGGACCTTTGTTGTATGTTTGTTTGCTTTTTGTTTGTAATAAAAGTTGCACTTTGACCCAAAAAAAAAAAATAGAGTTGGCATCAGGGATTTACACAAAATAAACCCAAAATAGTTATATGTGCAATTATCATATAAAAATTTTCTTAACAAGTGTCAAAGGTCAAAAAAAAAAAAAAAAAAAAAAAAAAACTAATGAAAAATGTTTGAAAACTTTGAGTTTTAACGAAAATAACAAAATAAATGGTAAAGTGAATAGTACCAGGATTGACTTTTTAGTATTAAAAAATGATTTTTCATTAAAATGAATAGTACTTGAAATTTTTCTTTGAAGTTCAAAAAAAAATAAAAAATAAAAAATAAAAAAAATCTACTAGTCTTTATCTTGGTGTTGCTGGGATGTCCCTACATGTTTGGTGCACAACGTGCGGCTCACATGTTTGGTGCATGTAAGACAACCCACAGCCTGTTCCTTGCAAAATACAGTCGAATTGGTCAATTAATTGGGAAGGACAACCTGCTTTCTCATGTAACCAGTAATTCAGACTTGTATTCTCCATATACGAATACATTAACAAGCGAACTCCATCATGCAAGCAATAATGTTTGCATTCCACCAGACCCAAGTCTTCTGAAGTTTCTTAACAGCTAGTCTGGTCCCATTCACTGAAGTTGCTCTGTAAACCGGACCAAAACCTCCACACCATGATGTTTGCTTGATTGAACTTGATTTCATTGGTGTTGACTAGGAACACTATGACACCACAAAATATGGTGGCCTCTCATTTTTTTTATTTTTTAAATTTTGATCTAATAGGGTTTTGTTATTGGGTTATGATATCTACACACTTTTTTGTACTGTTCACACATTTTTTTAATTTTTTACCATCGGATCAGATAAATTGAAGAAGATCAACGAACAAAAATTAACAAAGGGTGTGTGAGAAATAAAAATGGTGTGTGGATGGCACACCCCTTCTTATTTGTTTTTAATTTTGAGAGTATTTATGTCTATATAAGTGGTTTTTCTACTATATTTGAAAGATTTTATAAAAAGTGATATTTATGAAATTACGTGTTAGATTTTGATTATTACTGATAAATACTTAAAAAAATATCAGGAAACAGTATTTTATTTGACAACTGGGACGCGCGCGCATGTCTGGTAGGTTGGTGGTGGCGCTGATGACCAAGTGGTGCACATTACCAACCCCACCAGCCGCAGCACCTATCCCCCTCCACCTCTCCGGCCGTGCCCTCCTCCGCCCACCACCTCTATACGCACCACCGCGCGCCACCCGGACAATCGCAATGAACACCACCAATCAAGACCAAGACTCCCTCGACGCTCTATTCAAGCAGAAAAGAATCCTCCGCTCAAATGTCCGCAAAGCCCTCAAATCCATGGATCCGACACTCAGATCCCATGAAGGTAATTACCCAATCTTCACTATGTCTCTTTGCTGCAATGCCCATTTAATTGGAATTTGATAAAATTTAATTAAATTTGTTGGTTTTTTAGATAATGCAATTCAGAATATTGTATTGGAAGCTCCATGGTTTAAATCTTGTCAAAGACTATGTGCGTATATAAGCTGCAGTGCTTTGAGGGAAGTTGATACCTGTAAGTTACTGTCTGAAATTCTTCAGAGTCCACGTAAAGGTCTGATTTTTTATCTGCTCATTTCGAAAATTCGGTTTTTTAGATTGATATGGTGCTTGGAAGTGAAATTTTTTGAGAAATTAATTGTGGGTTACTTGTGTTTTCTGTGTTATGTGAAGAGGGTGATGTGCAGCTGAGGAAAAAGCTCTATGTTCCGCGTGTCGAGGACAAGAACAGTCACATGAGAATGCTGAACATTTCGTGTATTGATGATCTTGTGGCGAATTCGATGAATATTTTGGAGCCTGCTCCGGTGGATTCTGATGGAAATGAACGCAAAGATGGTAATGTTTCATTTGTTCAAGAGGAAGAAGTTACAAATTTACTGGTCAATTTACTTGTTCTAAGCTTGATCCCACATAGACTAGCCAAATCTTAAGTTATTTAAGTCTCAAAGTTCAATTTTTAGTGTTTGCATTGAAGTTTTTGAACTTAATAAAATGAGTGGTTACTAAATGGATTAGCATATATTAACATGGACATTCAAATATTCAAACTTTTGCTCCATTTGAAAGTGATTTTGTCAAACCTTCAAAGTTTCTGATTAGTGTCTTCTATCTAAAATGCTAAAGCAAATGTCTAAATCCAGGTAACGGTGGGAAAAATTCTCATTCATACAGCTTTCAAACCAGATTAAGCATCAGAATGTTCATTGGATTGTTATAGAGTAATTTCTCAGTGACAGGATAGGTAGAGGAAACATATTATCATTTGTTTTTTCGGAACTTATGTAGGATTGGCTTCATAGATAGCATGAACACTTTATTTATGTTTACTAGAAGGATGTAGGATGGGTTTCATTAGATGTAATTCGGTTAAAATTCATATCTAAAGGATCTCTCTTGGTGCAGTAATGCAGGCAAGTGACCCAGTTGATTTGCTCCTCTTACCGGGTATAAATTTTCTTCCTACCTTGTATTAAATTGCTCATCCATTTACAGGATGTGTTATAACTGTCAAAGTCAAACGGTAGTTGACTGTATATGGTTATCCTTTTCTTTTGATAGGACTAGCGTTTGACAGATCTGGGAGACGCTTGGGTCGTGGTGGAGGGTATGTTTATGCATCTTGGCCAATATAAAGTTTTTATTCTGTCTCTCAACTACCATGTGCTCAGTTGTTTGGAGATGTCACTGCTCGTTAAATACAAGGCCGAGAGCTGTGGATACCCTCTCCTTACATTTTTGTGAAGAAAACAAATTTAGGTATCGTAATTGAATGCATACCTGATGTTTCATGTGGTAAACATCTACAGTTATTATGATACCTTCCTGACAAGGTACCAAGAGCTTGCAAAGGCACACAATTGGAAGCAACCACTCCTTGGTATGCATCATTTTTTGTTTTCTCCCTTTAATTATAGCATACGTGCCTCGGGTACGAGTAAGTGTAGTCAGTTTTCTAGGTAATGGTTTTATTGTTGGCTTTTTATTTAAGATGGGTTGGTGTTATTGCAGTTGCACTGTCCTATTCTACACAGATATTGGATGAAGGAGTTATTCCGATCACTCCACATGACGTACTAGTGGATGCGCTTGTGTCCCCAGCGGGTGTGATCCCTATCAGCCCAACCGCTTTAGACAGGTATGACCAAGTAAATCTTCCATTAAGAGTTTTATTCTTCACTTTCTTTGGGTGCAAATTGAGATTCATTTAACATATACAGAATGAAGCTTTGAAAAAAAAAAATACTTGAAGCCTTCCAAGATCAGATCCTCGTGGAGTTTGACCCTGGCTGCCCCTGTATCTGTTAAAGGAAGTAATCGCGGTCTGTCTGAGATATAGGGCTTGGTGTTATCTGAGATATAGTTCTGGTTCCGTGTGGTTGAGACTTAAGAGTTAACCGCTGATTGTACAACCTTAAATCAAGACTCGGAGTTATTTGGAACATCAAAGTTCGGTTTTTAGAACGAGGATTTCATTTTTCTCTGTTTTTGTTTTGGTCGAATCTTCTGTGTTCTTTCACTTACGATTAAAGTGTAATGTTATTAGGGACATCTAAATTTAACTCAAATACTGCTTTGTTGCAGATTGAACATTTCTATCTGAAATATTGTTGTTTGGTGTTTGTTTTCTTGTTGGAAAGTGTGTGATACCGGGCTCATCAGCTTTCCATACTCATCGGTTGTTTAGGCTCGTCGGTAGTTATGCATCTCGGTTGTTCGAGCTCTTTGAATGTCTGTGGTTATCGATTGTCTGCTCGTTGTTGGACAATAGTTGATCGATGGGTCCACGAATGATCGGCGGAATTGGTCATATCCGGGCAGTACAATCTGCCATGAGTCATGGAGTTCTTCATCACAAGTAAAATTAAATGAGCGTGACATGGTGATAATTACTTTTTAGCCAAAATGGCCTTTGTGATCAATATAACTCCTAACTTTAGTCTTTGACAACAAAAATCGATAGATTTGGTTTATTGAGTTTGTCGACACCGTAAATCATTTTGATCATTCTATGAAAAATCTATCCATATAGTCCTTAAGTGGAGAGGTTGGTTTGAAAAAAATACCCTTGAAATGGAAGGACCAAAATGATTTATTGTGGACAAACCTAGGAATCACTCCATTTGATTTCCTTGTTAGCGACCAAAGTGAGATATTATGCCTATTTCAATGACCGTTTTAACTAAAAAGTCTTGTATTCACTAATCTTATACGAATTTCGAAGTTTGAGTCATGACCTCTTCATCAATAATAATTTTACAAATCATGTTTGATTCATGCTCACATGTGTTCACAGACTCTTTGAGATCATGCTTACGAGGTCCTACGTTCGAATCAAGGATCTGGATATCGGGTTTCGGATCCCGGACGTTCCCTCACCCAATTAAAATTAACAAGAAGAGAAACATGAAAGAAAAGAATTTGGGCCTTCAAATCCAATTAAAGCCCAACCCATTACCCACAAAGTGTTGGGCTGGTTCGACTCGGTTGTTGGCAACCCGGGGATTCCAACCAACTGAACCAGTTGAACCGCCAAGCCTGATACCACCACCCCATTTTCTTCCTCACCACCTCTGACACTGGAACCAAATTCTAATACTCCATTACTCAATCCAAACTCTCTCTCTCTCTCTCAAATGTTTGAAATTCCCAAATCCTAACGAACCCTAAACCAGGTCAGCTCATAAGAACGACGAAGTTGATCTCAGATGGACATACTCTTCGCCCAGATCCAAGCGGACCTCCGCTCCAACGACGCCCTCCGCCAGTCCGGCGCTCTCCTCCAAGCCCTCCAGCAATCCGCCGCCGGCCGCGACATCTCCGTCATCGCCAAGACCGCTGTCGAAGAGATCGTCGCCTCCCCCGCCTCCGCCGTCAGTAAAAAACTCGCCTTTGACCTCATTCGCTCCACCCGCCTCACTGCCGACCTCTGGGACACCGTCTGCGTCGGAATTCTCACCGATCTCGACTTCCCCGACCCTGACGTCAGCGCCGCAGCCGTCTCCATCCTCGCCGCAATCCCTTCCTACCGCCTCTCCAAGCTCATTACCGACGCGCAGAAAGAAATCAACAGTTGCTTCGATTCGCCGAGCGACAATCTCCGCTTCTCCATTACTGAAACCCTCGGATGCATTCTGGCGCGCGATGACCTCGTCACGCTCTGCGAGAACAATGTCAATTTGCTCGACAAGGTGTCGAATTGGTGGTCCCGCATTGGCCAGAACATGCTCGACAGATCCGACGCCGTTTCAAAGGTTGCGTTCGAGTCGGTGGGCAGGTTGTTTCAGGAGTTCGATTCCAAGAGGATGAGTAGACTTGCCGGTGACAAGTTAGTGGATAGTGAGAACTCGCTGGCGATTCGATCCAATTGGGTGTCGTCGATGGTCGACTTCGTGTGGAAGAAGCGGAGTGCTTTAATGGCGAGGTCGTTAGTTTTGCCGGTGGAGAGCTTCCGGGCCACTGTGTTTCCGATCGTTTATGCGGTCAAGGCCATTGCTTCGGGCTCAGTGGAGGTCATAAGGAAGCTGTCAAAGTCGTCTAAGGGGTCCAGTGGGACGGTTGTGGATTCCAATGCGGAGAGGTTGGTGGGAGTTTCGGATGTGGTCACGCATTTGGTGCCATTCTTGGCGTCGTCATTGGATCCGGCTTTGATTTTCGAAGTTGGGATTGATATGCTGTATCTGGCTGATGTGCCTGGTGGGAAGCCTGAGTGGGCTTCGCAGTCAATTATCGCAATTCTCACACTTTGGGATAGGCAAGAGTTTGCTTCTGCAAGGGAGAGTATTGTTAGAGCTGTGGTTACTAACCTGCACCTGCTTGATCTTCATATGCAGGTATATATGATTACTTCCCTTACTTCCTTTTAGTTTATTTCGCACACTTACGCACCATTTGATTCGTTAGTTTAATTCGCATGAGTTCTAGTTTTAAGGAAGGAATTGTGCGTGTGTAGGTTTCGCTGTTTAAGAGGTTGCTTCTTATGGTGAGAAACTTGAGGGCAGAATCAGATCGTATGCATGCGTTAGCTTGCATTTGTCGAACAGCTCTTTGTGTTGATCTCTTCGCAAAGGAGAGCGTAAGAAGAGGCCAGAAACCTCTTGCCGGAACTGATATAGCTTCACTTTTTGAGGACGCAAGAATCAAAGACGATCTTAATAGTGTGACAAGCAAGACCTTATTTAGGGAGGAGTTGGTGGCATCATTAGTTGAAAGTTGTTTTCAGTTATCTCTGCCTTTACCTGAACAAAAGAACACAGGGATGGAGAGCAGGGTTATTGGGGCCTTGGCATATGGAACTGGTTATGGTGCACTAAATTGGATAGAGCCTGCTTTGGAAGTGGTGGAGGTTTGCCGGCCTTGTGTTAAATGGGATTGTGAGGGCCGGACCTATGCAATTGATTGCTATTTGAAGTTGCTTGTGAGGCTATGTCATATCTATGATACTAGGGGAGGTGTAAAAAGAGTTAAAGATGGGGCTTCCCAAGACCAAATTTTAAATGAGACAAGGTTGCAGAATTTGCAGCGTGAACTTGTGAAAGATCTACGCGAGGTATGCACACTCTTCTTTTATTAATATGGTTTAGCATGTTGGCTCTTCATATATGTTGTAGGCAAGGACAGTTACTGAAATATGTTTTGCATTATGATGGAACTGTGTTTATGTAGACCATTTATGAGTTTCAATGCATTAATATGATTTTTTTTTCTTTACTGGTGAGGTGCATGGGTGTGAAATTTGTGAAAATATGATTTAAACCATTGCATTAATATGATAGGTTAATAGAATTTGGTAGTTGGTAGCACTTGAAATATCAAAGGAACTTGCAATATGGTATTGAATATATGAACCCTTGGAACTGGACTTCCTAAACAGCTAGCTCTTGAATCAGAAGTTCAATATAGAAAAAGGCTTGTTGGCGGTGGATAAACATAATCCGAAGTAGTTTTCTTCTTCCTTCCATAGACCTCACATACTCGAACATAGTTATTTCTAGAAACAAGTCAATTTTCATTGCACTAGGGTGCATTATCATAGCATAGCATTCCACTGCCAAAGGAATGAAATTATAAAGTAACAAGAAACTGAGGCAATCTAGTATCAGCAAATGAACATTTTAACTTCAGCAGATTGTTTAAATATAAGTGAATTGAATGTACAAATTTGACAATATCTACATCTGAATTCCTCTCTTTAAGTGATATATGAGACTGGAAAGAGACTGCAATACGGGTTTTTTTTTTTTTTTTTGTGAGCGAGAGCAGTGAAAACTCCCCATACCTTTCACGTAACCGGTATTTTGTGCCAGCTGAGAAAAAAGAAAAACACTGTATTTGATATTGGATCAGAGACTCCCAAGTTTTGAAAGATCATAACAAATGGGCTAGATACCAACCTTTCTATATCCTGATTATGGGCAGTTACAGTGGAAGTTTCCTAGTTCTTTTCTTTTATGACTACTGCCTCCCATATATTTTTCTTGTTTGTTTTCTCCTTTTTGACTTCTTTATTTCTCTGTTTTACTAGAAATTCCAGAGTTCCAAGCTAATTATGCTCTTTTATCTCTTGTTTTGACAACTGGCTGATTTTGTGTTATTTTCTTCTACGTGTTATCTTACACCTCTGTTAATTTGACAGGTAAATACCCCAAGAATATGTGCTCGCCTTATTTGGGCTATTTCAGAGCACATAGATCTAGAAGGTCTGGACCCACTTCTTGCTGATGATCCCGAGGATCCATTGAACATGATTATTTCGAACATCCACAAGGTTTTGTTCAATATAGATTCATCTGCTGATTCAACAAACAGGCTTCTAGATGTTCAGGCAGTTCTTTTATGTGCTCAGCGGTTGGGATCACGCAACCCCAGGGCCGGGCAGTTACTGATAAAAGAACTTGAAGAGTTCAGGAGCGGTAGTATGGCGGATTCTGTTAACAAGCATCAGAGCCGTTTGATTTTGCAGAGAATCAAGTATGTTACAAGTCATCCAGAAAGCAGGTGAGCATATTATATATTTTCGTGAACCTGTGATGGTCAACCATGTGCCATAGATTTTGGGTCGGGTGTATCGAATCTTTAATGAAGTTTCTTGTTCCTCCAATGTCTGCTTATAGTAATCTACATTCATTTGTCTACTTTCAAGAGGTGTTCTTTGTAGTTTGTTACCCCTGGGGTCTGATGCTGTATTCGGTGATGATTTCCATTCTATGATGGGTAGTCTTATCTCGTTCTATATCTTAATCTGTGTAGAGATATAGATCCATTGCACATAATTATATCGAATTTCCACAAGGTTATGATTCCTGGATCCAGATATTAGAAAGAAAATCTGTATAGATATATATTTTCAGCCTGTGTCAAACTTACTTATCCGGAAGGAGAAAATGACTTGGATCAAAGTGGAGGCACACCTCTTCAGTATGAAATTACTCTACCATGTCTGATGCATATATATGCGTGAACACTGAATTGTGTTTTTATATTTTCTACCCTCGCTTTACTAACATCTGTTATTTGCAGATGCAGTTATGCATTTGTAGTTTGTACACACAAATAAAACATAATAATTGTTTTTCAGGTGGGCAGGAGTGAGTGAAGCCAGAGGTGACTACCCATTTAGTCA